GTGATGTGGTCAGCATCACGCCGCCTTTACTTCCCGGGACTGCACCCAGTACCCACTCAAGGCTGGGTCGACCTGGGAGCCATGGTCATTTTTTTTAAAAAGTCGATCTGCGGTGAGCGTCTAGTCGATATTCGGCGAGCGTCTAGCCGCTCGTCACAAATTTTTTTTATAACTTCGGTTAATATGTGTTTCCTGATGGTCTGAGGTGACCCCCGGGGAAAGGTTGTACATCCTTGAATATTTTCTAGTGCTCATTTTAGTGTGTGTCAGCCTGAGAACTCAGGGCCGTCGAATGAATGTTCATGTTTCACTGAGGATGTCAAAATATGACCACCACCCCAGCTGATAAGCGTGTTTGCCCCTGCAGTGTCCCAGCTCCCAAGAATCAGTTGATGGCAACTTTATGGTGGACTGATGTATTTTCTTCTTCATCACTATGTTCGTCAGCTGTAAACGCCCGACAGAAATTTCTGGTCTTCGTCCACTCTTTCCGCACTTCAGTTTTGTCACAGAATTTGGGTTTTGTGTGCAAAACTGTTTTACACATATGGCTAACTTGTATGCTGACTGCTGGTGCCTCGTTTTTTGGGCAGACGCACTGCTACATCAAAGGAAGACCCCCTAGTCACCTTTGATGACATGCTTGTTAAGGAGTTAAGGAGGTGGAGGGCATTGGGTCCCGGAACCCACACATCGTCGACTGATGTGATATATTTAAAAAAAAATGGTAATACTGAATTATCTGTGGTGATAGCATTTTGATTGCTAGGAATGAATGAACATATTAGAGCTTTAATGAAAATATGCAATAGTGAAGTAACACAAAAAAGATGTGCCACATTGACTGGCTACTGTGGCATGAGAAGAGAGGATAGCCTATGAGGTACCATGTTGAATTTATCCAGCTTTATCTAAAAAGATAGTCAACATTTTAATCTCCCCTGGGTTTCCTTTGATGGAATGTCAACGAGCAGCTGCCACAGATAAGCTGTCTAACCCCCAGCAAGAATGGTGTCAGCAGTGACAGGGGTTAGGTTAGAAACAACTGCCTTGTGATTATGTGTAGTTACCTGTCAGAAGTAGCAAGTAGGTTATTCCATGGCTAAGTGGTTAGATTGTTTGCCTCATGCTGTCAAGGTTATGAGCTTGTTTTGTTGAAAACGTCATTCTGTGTGATTGAAGTTGTTATAGATGCCTTTGGGGTATCCGCGCTGGAGCTATGAAGTTCATGTTTTGTGGAGTCTCAGCAGTTCTGTGGAAAAAGACTGAGCCATATGGGTTTAAAACCAGGTCCAGTTAAGTCAGCTGTCTCTTGGAGGGTAAATTTGCATGCAATAGGGAGTGGGTTATGCCTTTTTTGTGTAAATATTGAGCATTGGAGGTTGTGTGGCAAGTGCATTAACTGTACCTTTGTTCCGCAATATTTCTTTTGTTTTCTTTGTTACTTTCACTGACTGTAAACTCTGGTGGAAAGTTCTGGCTCTTCGTCCACTTCTGGACTTTAATCTTTTTTTTTTTTTTAGGACTTGAGTTTTAAATGCACATCCATTTTACAGATTTGGCTTATTTGTAAGCACAGTCTGTCAGTGCTATGCCTCCTCTGCAAATGCAATTTGACTTTGAAGGAAACACCCCTTGACTAGTCGAAATCTATGACATGCTTGTTGTGGGGCAATTGGTCTGTCCCCCCCCCCCGTCAAAATGAGACCATAGAGTCGACACAGAAAGTTCAGCATTCAGATCTCAAGAGTGACAACATTAGATGTGTTTTTTCCTAACTGAATCTGCCGTTATAACTCTGAAGTGTCCTCTCTGTAAAGAATGTACCAGGTATTTCTTTAATATTTTTGGGGGGGGGGGGGGGGGGGGATGAGAAGGTGATGGAAGAAGGCAATCTTGTCAGCCAACACTGTTAAGTTGTGACCTAATAGATGACATGGCCTCACACTTCACACCTGTACTGTCATGGGTTTTCTTTGACCTTCAGTACTGACCTCACACTTCACACCTGTACTGTCATGGGTTTTCTTTGACCTTCAGTACTTGTGATTATCTTTTCATTCAGGCTAGAGACGTCATGGAGTGTGCTTTAATCACAGTGACTCCACAGTTTAATCAATTATAACGATAACCGTGTTTCAATTGCCCGCACAATTTCTATACCTTAACCAATTTAAAACATTGTTATCTTATGTGTGGGTGTTGGGGCCCATTTTGGGTAAGACGAGAATAGACTTACTTGTCGCTTCACAAGCATGTCATAAAAGGTGACCAGGGGTTAGCTAAAGTCAGATATGTTGAGCTTAGACATGACAGCTTAGCTGAAGACCACAACACAAAGCCAGCTGCCTTTTGTTGAGGAAAATACAGAAGAAGAAAAATCATCTCCTATAAACTTCATACAGCTGATGTGTGTCTCCGCAGATCTCAGTCTGTGTTGTTCTGGATCAGTTCCACTGATGATATTCCCCCATGCCGCTGTCTTAATCCATCCACATTTTCTCTTTGTGTGCCCCTGCCTCTTCTTTCAGTGATCTTTCCAGTCATCAATGTATTTTCCAGTTCTACTTTTCTCGTCAGATGATCAAAGAACTTTGTTTGCCTCCTTCTCATTGTTGTATATACTATTCTATTATAATTAGCCAGTGCCAGGCAATCATTGTTAGTTATTCTGGCAGTCCAGATATTCACAACATTCTTCTCAAGAACCACATCTTAGCTGCCACCAAACTCTTCTTAATTTGTTTGCTCACATTCCAAGATTAACTACCATACAACAGAACAAGCTCAGTATAACATTTTAGTTCTGGTTTCCTTATATAGTTCATACAATTGTCAACAATGTTACAAGAATAACCGTATATTGAAAAGTGACAAATGGCAGCTGTAGTACAGTGAGCTCCTTGGGGAAAATTTTTAAATAATGTATTTTACCACTGGGCTAAATAGAAGCTAGAACTAGTGTTGAACAATGAACAGTCAAGTAGTTTACAGCCTCCCAGTGACTCCCATGCTAAACTAACAGCATGGTTTTATTTTGTAAAGAGCAAAATGAGAAAGATTGTTAACCCATGTCTGTTGAGAGTGCTGGTAAATATGACATGTTAGTTTATATTGTTCTTGTCATTGAATGTGCAATTAAGAATAATCACAGCACTTGGGACATTCACATAAACGCTCGATCCCCATCTTCAGCACCAAGCAAAGAGTTATCAGACCTGTAACTGTCTGATTGTATGCCTTTCCCTTGAGCATTGACCAGATCCCCTGGTAACTTCTTGCAGCGCCGTTCTCCTCAGTAATGATCAGTTTGTGCCTCCGCGCTGCTCACTTGCTCCCAAAGGGCCATCTTGGATTCTAACTTGTCATACATCAATTCACTACCAAATGATGCATAACATCCAGTTCATCTGTCTGCTCATTTCCCAGCACACCAGCATGACCTTGTTGGTACTACATTAGTACAGTGCATGGTATATATACTTCCCTGTTACCCTATATTACACTTGTTAATATGTGGCGTCATATGGCAGAATATATATGTAAACTTGTTAATAGTTACAGTAAGATAACAATAATGGTTAGCCAGTCAATAGTTTAAAGCAGATAGCTGTCATGTGTAAACTTGTTGATAGTTAATATCAGATAACATCCTGTGTAAACTTGTTAATTATTGTCAGATGGCACCATTTATATATGAGGGAATGTTTATTTATATGTTTAGAATATTGTCCTAACACCATAAGGCTTATAGGAAATGCATTTTTGCATAATGAGACTACTGTACAGTAGTTTTTTAGGCATTCATCTTGGCAAGTTAGATTTATATTATGCCCATTAGAAAGTTAAGCAGTGCTTTATATATATATATATATATATATATATATATATATATATATATATATATATATATATATATATATATATATATATATATATATATATATATATATATATATATATTTTTTTTTTTTTTTTTTTTTCAATAGATAGGTAATAACATAAACTGTTTCTTTAGACTTTGCCTGACTAGCTCAGTGTGGTCCTAATCTGTTTCTCTGTAATACATTTCTGCTGCCCTAGTTTTCATAATTTTTTTAAAATAAACAGGCCCATTAAAAACATGAAGCAGTTTATTGCTAGTTCACGTTTGATTTTTTAACGAGGTTTTTTTTCTGTGCTCTCTTCTGCTTTCTTGTCATCTGTGTTCTAACTGTGGTCTGTTTATTATTGTTGCCTCCGCAGTCACTGAGCACGCAGCAAACCCTGGGTGGTCAACAGCCAGTGGCTGCTTCAGGCCCAGGGAATGTCAGTCTCCAGGCTGCGGCCACTGTCCGGGGAGGTCCCCTACAGACACATGCAGCTGCTGATGAACATGGTAGGTGGCGGTTCATGTCCATGTGTCATTATTGGAAAGCATTTTTATGTAACTTTGTTTATGTATACAAGGTTAAAAATGGGAGGAACAAGGGTTTCTGTCTCGTCATCCCCTTGTGGGAGGCAATTTTTAGTTGAAGCCCCACCCTGGCTTTTGCCGGTAGCCTTAATATAACCAGACCTGAAATATGGTCTAACGGCTAAACATATTTTCCTGGACATGAGTGATCCTCGTCCGCATGGTGGCTCTTTGTGTCACTGGGTGTTTATCGCTTGTGTAATGTCCTGGTGGGGTACAACTTACATACATACACAAATGGGAGGACTGACTTGATTGCATTAGTGTTATTCCTTGTGGCTCGGCCTCTCTCGGCAGAACGGCTAGCCGAGAGCCCCACACAAAACACAGACTCTGCAGCTCCGGACACCGTCCACAGAGATCTCTGTAAAAATCACACTTGTGAACTGAACAGCATAGGCGTGAAACAGACTAATGACCTTCAGAACGTGAAGCAAACTGCTTGGCCACAAGGATCCCTGTCACACATATACAATGTGTGGACTTTTATCACTTGTCATTTATGGTGTCCCATGTTTATTATTAATTTTCATTACTGCCCTATTTACCAGAGGTAAACATTGAGTTGCCACATACCAACATTTAGCTGTCCCATGCCAGCATTTAGCTGTCTCATGCCAACATTCAGCTGTCTCATGCCAACATTTAGCTGTCCCATGCCAACATTTGCTGTCCCATACCAACATTTAGCTGTCCCATGCCAACATTTAGCTGTCCCATGCCAACATTTAGCTGTCCCATGCCAACATTTACTGTCCCATGCCAACATTTAGCTGTCCCATGCCAACATATAGCTGATCCATGCTATGCCAACATTTAGCTGTTCCATACCAACATTTAACTAACATACCAACATTTTACTGTCCCATGCCAACATATAGCTGTTCCATGCCAACAAATAGCTGTTCCATGCCAACATATGGCTGTTCCATGCCAACATATAGCTGTTCCATGCCAACATTTAGCTGTCTCATGCCAACATTTAGCTGTCTCATGCCAACATTTTGCTGTACCGTGCCAACATTCAGCTGTCTCATGCCAACATATAGCTGTTTCATGCCAACATTTAACTGTCACATACCAACATTTAGCTGTCACATACCAACATTTTACTGTCCCATGCCAACATATAGCTGTTCCATGCTATGCCAACATTTAGGTGTCCCATACTAACATTTAACTGTAACATACCAACATTTGGCTTCCCTGTACTACTAGCATTTACTGTCAGTTGTATAGGAAATGGCAGGTGACAGATAGTATCATACAGATATTTTCCTGTAACAGTATGTTGTCTATTCCATTCCACAGTGGGCAGTGACAGAATTGATGGAGACACGGGGTCTAGTGTTAGTGATGTCAATGTTAGTGCCTCACAGGTATTGTTTCATTGATGTTGTTTTACCATTGTTCTTCCACTTTGTAAGTTAAAAGATTCGCCTAGTGAGTGGGTAATTTTAATGATTTATCATTTATATATATTTTTTTAAATATCGCAGAGGTCTTTCTTTTAAGTTCAGCACATTTTAAGTTCAGCCTTGCTTTTGTAACTTCCTAGGAATTTTTTTCCTTGTTCAAAACAGTTTAACATTGACAGTCTATTGCTAGTTTGAGTATGATGTGTAATAGGGCAGTTTGTTGTGATGCATTTTTGTATTTTAGCATAATTGTCCACATCAGAAGGAGACAATCCATTCTTTGGACATATGAAAAAGAGAAAATTGGACTACATGGTGAGAATGGGAAAGTTTGAGGAGAAAAGTGGCACAGAGAGAGAGAGAAGAATCTGTAGAGTTAGAGATGATGGCATGGAAGAGCATCTATGTCAGAATTGTGTAAAAGTAGATAAGGCAGGTTATGGACTTACACATAAATGTGCTATCATAACAGCACTGTCTTGGAGGTGTGGGCACTGATGTCTTCACTTATATTAGGCCATGGTATGGGAGGTGGTGCAGTATTTCAGCCCTGGCGGAATCCAATCCTGAAATAATGAAGTTATCAGAATCATTACCCAACACATTGTCAAATATGAACGTCTTTTAACAACAGAAAGAAAAAAAAAATGAAAATGCAGTGGTACTGACAGGTTGTTGTTGTTATTGATCCAGCGGCGCATGAGCTTTCGCCCTTTGGCCCAATGCCATGTAGTGGAATTTGCACGTTTTCACAAGCTGTTCTTTTCCTCCGTACAAGGTGTTCCACTTGTCTGGTCTCGGAGGGAGTAGCGTTCTTCTTGTCTCACTGAGTTTTGGGCACTCAAAGAGATGGTGTTCAACAGTTTCGTAGGGGTAGTTACATAGCTGGCACTCTGGGGAGTGTTGTGGCTGTATTCTGTTTAGGTGTCCATTGAGTGGAGTATGTTGCGTTCTAAGTGAAGATGGTGGCCTGGTCCCTTCTTGTTAGATGGTTAATGCTGTCATTAGGATCAGGGCCAGACATATGTCTATAAACCTCTCTTCCAGTGTCTCCCATGGCCCATCTGTTCAACCAAGTCTCTTTGTTTATAGCTCTTATCAGTGTTTTTGCTGTCTGGAGGGTTGTCGCTGTAGGTGGTTCTTGTGTTGCTGCTTTCTTTGCCAATATGTCAGCTCTGTCATTACCTGGTGTGCCGGAGTGACCTGGGATCCACTGCATCACTATTCTGATGTTGTATGAGGTAATAAGCTGATCAGCATCCAGGATTATCTTGGCTATGTCAGTTCTGCAGCGTTCACTGACAGGTAACAAGATTTGCTGGCCTCAAAAACAGTAAAATGTCTGGAGATGTGGACCAGCGTCATTGCACACGGTTATAAACCATAAGTGCTTTGCTACCACTACAGAAAGCTGATTAAAAAGCTGTCTGCCTGTGTCGCTGTTCGCACAAAACTCCGTCGCTACAGCGACATTCCTCTATTTACCCTAGAGTGTTAACTCTGATACCCATTTCCTTGAGGTGGGCGAACCCCAGGAACTGCCCGGTTTCGAACATCGGCCGCGAGCTGCAGCTAGATTTGAAAGCGAGTTTTCAATGGACTGCGCAGATGCAGTCCCGCAATACTAAACCAAATACTAAAGACATGGATATAGAATTTGGTAGCCTCCCTGTATGGGTTCCGTGGTCCCGTTGGGGAGGAAAACAAGAATATACCTAATACCTATCCAGAAGCATGGAGTAAGAATCGACTAATTAGGAGCTTCCGTTGAAGTGGGAGTGCAAATGCCTGAGAGGCAAGGAATCAACAGTCTGCATACAAGTGAGTCAGCTCTGTTAAATGGATGTACACCCAGGAACAAGACTAGAATCAAGATGTGGACGAACAGCCAGAACTTTCTGCCTGTGTTTACATTGTGTAATGCGATAAAGAAGAAGAAATGGATGGAAGTGAAATATGCGTACATCAAGTGCACTGCATTTGATCAACATTGGTGTAGGGAACTGATCGTTGCAATCAACAGCAACTGGTGACAGTGGTGGGCAGTATTATGGGACTGTGGTGGTTGGAGGTGGAGTGGCCAGTTTATTGTAGCACTGTCGGTGTGTGATCTGTCTAGGCTGGGTTGAGCAATCAATGTCACACATATAGACACTCATGTGCTATTCTGGGTTGAGCAATAAATGTCACACATGCCACACATATAGACACTCATGTGCTATTCTGGGTTGAGCAATAATTGTCACACATGCCACACATATAGACACTCATGTGCTATTCTGGGTTGAGCAATAATTGTCACACATGCCACACATATAGATACACATGTGCTATTCTGGGTTGAGCAATAATTGTCACACATGCCACACATATAGATACACATGTGCTATTCTGGGTTGAGCAATAATTGTCACACATGCCACACATATAGAAAGGGGGCGGACACATACACATGTGCTATTCTGGGTTGAGCAATAATTGTCACACATGCCACACATATAGATACACATGTGCTATTCTGGGTTGAGCAATAATTGTCACACATGCCACACATATAGATACACATGTGCTATTCTGGGTTGAGCAATAATTGTCACACATGCCACACATATAGAAAGGGGGCGGACACATACACATGTGCTATTCTGGGTTGAGCAATAATTGTCACACATGCCACACATATAGATACACATGTGCTATCCTGGGCTGAGCAATAAATATCACACATGCCACACATATAGATACACATGTGCTATTCTGGGTTGAGCAATAAATATCACACATGCCACACATATAGACACTCATGTGCTATTCTGGGTTGAGCAATAATTGTCACACATGCCACACATATAGACATTCATGTGCTATTCTGGGTTGAGCAATAATTGTCACACATATAGATACACATGTGCTATTCTGGGTTGAGCCATAAACGTCACGCATGCCACACATATAGATACACATGTGCTATTCTGGGTTGAGCAATAATTGTCACACATGCCACACATATAGAAAGGGGGCGGACACATACACATGTGCTATTCTGGGTTGAGCAATCAATGTCACACATGCCACACATATAGACACACATGTGCTATTTTGAGTTGAGCAATAAACGTCACACATGCCACACATATAGATACACATGTGCTATTCTGGGTTGAGCAATCAATGTCACACATGCCACACATATAGACACACATGTGCTATTCTGGGTTGAGCAATCAATGTCACACATGCCACACATATAGATACACATGTGCTATTCTGGGTTGAGCCATAAACGTCACACATGCCACACATATAGATACACATGTGCTATTCTGGGCTGAGCAATAATTGTCACACATGCCACACATATAGATACACATGTGCTATTCTGGGTTGAGCAATAAATGTCACACATGCCACACATATAGATACACATGTGCTATTCTGGGTTGAGCCATAAACGTCACACATGCCACACATATAGATACACATGTGCTATTCTGGGTTGAGCCATAAACGTCACACATGCCACACATATAGATACACATGTGCTATTCTGGGTTGAGCCATAAACGTCACACATGCCACACATATAGATACACATGTGCTATTCTGGGTTGAGCCATAAACGTCACACATGCCACACATATAGAAAGGGGGCGGGCACATACACATGTGCTATTATTTCAGTGATTATACAACTCAACTTCCATTTGAAAAATGAGGCTGAAATCCCAATCCTTTATCCTTTTGCTCCTTGTACACATGACAGTGCTTTAATTTAAAGGTCGCTGGGGCATATCCTAGGAGAAAACCACTAGCTGGTACTTGTGCATTATCACGCAAATATCTTTTGCCACTGCAAGTAATGATAGATTTATTTTAAGCCATTCACAACCATGGGATACCAGTATGTTAAGAAATTCTCTCAAACCTAAGATTCGCTTACATGCAAGGGAGTTGTTTTTTATTGAATAGATACCCGTTAAAGTCCATTTCTGCTAGGATATCACCATGTGCCAAACTGTATAAGGCATAAGAAGAGTTATCAACTCCTTTCAGTACCGGAGGGTAGTTAAATTAGTTAGGAATCAACACATGATGCGATCCTTGGTGCCAAAAAAGCTGAATGCCCCAAACAAATTTGGTATTTATCAATCCTTCTGGTCCTGAAAGGGTGGATATGTACCATTTACTGTGTTGTCGTTCTCTTTCTGTTTAAAACGTATGAAGCTGAGCAGTAGCTGTGAATAGGTGAAGTCATTTACTGTTCTCTTTTGTTAGATGTCAACCACATCATCCACCAGCAACGTAGCCCAGGGTGGGGACAGTCAGGCCTCACACCAGGTAAGTAAGCTTAACCTCTCATGGTTCACTGCACTTCAGCAGACTCTAGTCTAGCCCTTGTTCATTCTTATGGGCTTGCTGACATCAGCTAGTATGTTGGATAAGTCAACAAATGGAGATTATTACCGGTGGTGAGATTTTTTCATCTTTCATCATTTCCTTGAGGGATTTACATTTTTTTCACATTGTCTAGTCCCCCCCCCCCCCCCCCCCCCCCCCCCCCCCCCCCCCCCCCCCCACCCCCCCCCCCCCTGTTTTTTTCCCCCACTAAACTATTGGTTGGGGGGCTGTGGTGAGGTAGTGGCCAGGCGCTGCAGACACGAGGGGTTTGAAAATAGCTGTATCAATGTAAAAAAAATTATTTTTTTTAAATACGGCTTTAATAAACTGTATGTTATTTCTTTTTTCTTTAATCTCTTTTCCATCTTTGCCGTCTGCTATAAAATTTTAACATTTAAAAATGTGTAACCCTTTCCTTATGTTGTCTATAGAGATAGCTACGTGTACATAATGCTTTGTCTGCGGCTTAGGCGTTGCAAACCAGCTTTGTAATGCCAGGGTACCAGGTTCAATCCCAGCTGCATGCCTTGTGTTGGTTTTGACAGTGGTTTTAAAAAGTCAACCGTCCAGAAAGTAATGGCAAACTGCTGGATGTAAATTTGCCTAGATAAACCACAACAGACAAAATAATGCTAGGGTTGGTTCTGCAATGTCTTTAAAGAATAAGCAACTAACTAACTTTAGCATACATGCTTTCATTCACCTTGTAAAGGTAACAAGTAAGGACCCTTTTCAACATGCATGTAGTGCCAGCTTAACATGTGTATAGACAAATAGGCACTTGGTGGGTGATGTAATGCGAGGGGCTTTGTCTTCCCAGGATATTGCTGATACCTCTGTTTGTGGCTTCTGGGCACTTGGTGGGTGATGTAATGCCAGGGGCTTTGTCTTCCTAGGAAATTACTAATACCTCTGTTTGTGGCTTCTGGGCACTTGGTGGGTGATGTAATGCGAGGGGCTTTGTCTTCCCAGGATATTGCTGATACCTCTGTTTGTGGCTTCTGGGCACTTGGTGGGTGATGTAATGCCAGGGGCTTTGTCTTCCCAGGATATTGCTGATACCTCTGTTGTGGCTTCTGGGCACTTGGTGGGTGATGTAATGCCAGGGGCTTTGTCTTCCCAGGATATTACTGATACCTCTGTTTGTGGCTTCTGGGCTCCTTTTCAGAGAAGACATGAGTAAACCTACTACCCGCCCCCTTTCCCAAAATGGATGTCATTAAATGGTGACTTGTTATGGTTTTGCTGAAATCAGATTTGTTAGGGCAAAAGCATAGATAATCCAGGGTAGCTGTTATCCGCAACACAGCACGCCATCCCCTCTGTTATATGTGAACACAGAAGGTGGCGAATTTCACGATATCTGTTTCAGCCATGCGTATTTGTGTTGCGTGTATATTGCACCACATAGTTTGTTTCTGTCTCTTATAGCCCACATGTTATAACAGCACATTGTTAATTTTCTGTAGCTAGTTGCAGCTAACCCACACAGTTGTGTACTGTCCTTTCTAATCTGTTAGTCTTATGCTTGCTGTTATATATAATTGTGCAGCTACGTTAAAATATGGTTTTTACACATAGGTGATAAGGATTATGCCTTCAGAATTATTAATCACACATTTATTAGACATTTACTGACACTAACTGAAGCTGTAACAATAAAATTCATGAACTCGGTTGGTTTGTGTAGACAGAAACTTTGAGGGATACACCCCTATTTAGTGGACTTTTACTACATGCTGGGTGGGGGGGGGGGGGGGGTGGTCAAAAATAGAGCCCTGGAACCCACATGGGGAGAATAAGCTTTTTGTGTTTGATAATTATGTTAATTAACTACATGACTTTTCTTCATCATTGATAATGCTAATAGTACATAGTCTGACAGGAGTTTACCTAGTTGACAGTCTGAGAGACCATAGCTGACTTTTCATAGTCTGGTTGACCGTAGATGACTTTTCATAGTCTGGTTGACCATAGATGACTTTTCATAGTCTGGTTGACCGTAGATAACTTTTCATAGTCTGGTTGACCGTAGCTGACTTTTCATAGTCTGGTTGACCGTAGATAACTTTTCATAGTCTGGTTGACCATAGATAACTTTTCATAGTCTGGTTGACCGTAGCTGACTTTTCATAGTCTGGTTGACCATAGCTGACTTTTCATAGTCTGGTTGACCGTAGCTGACTTTTCATAGTCTGGTTGACCATAGATGACTTTTCATAGTCTGGTTGACCATAGATAACTTATCATAGTCTGGTTGACCGTAGATAACTTTTCATAGTCTGGTTGACCATAGATAACTTTTCATAGTCTGGTTGACCATAGAAAACTTTTCATAGTCTGGTTGACCATAGATGACTTTTCATAGTCTGGTTGACCGTAGATAACTTTTCATAGTCTGGTTGACCGTAGCTGACTTTTCATAGTCTGGTTGACCATAGATGACTTTTCATAGTCTGGTTGACCATAGATGACTTTTCATAGTCTGGTTGACCGTAGATGACTTTTCATAGTCTGGTTGACCGTAGATAACTTTTCATAGTCTGGTTGACCATAGATGACTTTTCATAGTCCGGTTGACCATAGATAACTTTTCATAGTCTGGTTGACCATAGATAACTTTTCATAGTCTGGTTGACCGTAGCTGACTTTTCATAGTCTGGTTGACCGTAGATAACTTTTCATAGTCTGGTTGACCATAGATAACTTTTCATAGTCTGGTTGACCATAGATGACTTTTCATAGTCTGGTTGACCATAGATGACTTTTCATAGTCTGGTTGACCATAGATGACTTTTCATAGTCTGGTTGACCGTAGATAACTTTTCATAGTCTGGTTGACTATAGATGACTTTTCATAGTCTGGTTGACCATAGATAACTTTTCATAGTCTGGTTGACCATAGATGACTTTTCATAGTCTGGTTGACCATAGATAACTTTTCATAGTCTGGTTGACCGTAGATGACTTTTCATAGTCTGGTTGACCATAGATAACTTTTCATGGTCTGGTTGACCATAGATAACTTTTCGTAGTCTGGTTGACCATAGATAACTTTTCATAGTCTGGTTGACCGTAGCTGACTTTTCATAGTCTGGTTGACCATAGATAACTTTTCATAGTCTGGTTGACCGTAGCTGAGTTTTCATAGTCTGGTTGACCATAGCTGACTTTTCATAGTCTGGTTGACCGTAGCTGACTTTTCATAGTCTGGTTGACCATAGATGACTTTTCATAGTCTGGTTGACCATAGATAACTTTTCATAGTCTGGTTGACCGTAGATAACTTTTCATAGTCTGGTTGACCATAGATGACTTTTCATAGTCTGGTTGACCGTAGATAACTTTTCATAGTCTGGTTGACCGTAGCTGACTTTTCATAGTCTGGTTGACCGTAGATAACTTTTCATAGTCTGGTTGACCATAGATGACTTTTCATAGTCTGGTTGACCATAGATGACTTTTCATAGTCTGGTTGACCATAGATGACTTTTCATAGTCTGGTTGACCATAGATAACTTTTCATAGTCCGGTTGACCATAGATAACTTTTCATAGTCTGGTTGACCATAGATGACTTTTCATAGTCTGGTTGACCGTAGCTGACTTTTCATAGTCTGGTTGACCGTAGATAACTTTTCATAGTCTGGTTGACCATAGATAACTTTTCATAGTCTGGTTGACCATAGATGACTTTTCATAGTCTGGTTGACCATAGATGACTTTTCATAGTCTGGTTGACCGTAGATAACTTTTCATAGTCTGGTTGACTATAGATGACTTTTCATAGTCTGGTTGACCATAGATGACTTTTCATAGTCTGGATGACCGTAGATGACTTTTCATAGTCTGGTTGACCATAGATGACTTTTCATAGTCTGGATGACCGTAGATGACTTTTCATAGTCTGGTTGACCGTAGATGACTTTTCATCCTTCATATTCCAATAGGCCATAGTGATTTGTTTTGTGTGTGGGTGTTATTCAGCGTAATATACTTGCAACAATTATGTGTTATATCTTTCTTGAAAGTTTTTCGGGTGATAATGTTTTCTGAAATGTATACATTTTAACACATACACAGCACTTTTGATAGTTTATAGTCAGAAAAGAATCAGTTTACTCATGGTTTCCTTGATTTTACAAGTCTTTAACAGTATTCACACATGTACTGTCGTCAAACCTAGCTGTTTATTGAACCCCACTGTTTAATTGCCATGGAAATTGTGCAGTATTCCAAGGCTTGCTTCTGGTTTCTAGGTAGCTCTAACAGTAAATTGAATTTCCACAGGGAAACATTAGATGCAGGTTGCGAGAAAAGGTGTGTTCAGCTATTTCTATGGTGTGGCATGTTGCTTGAACCGTCTGATTTTGTTTGATGCCTAGAAGACACTGTACTCTTGTGTAATTTGTGTTAGATGGGAAGAAATTCCCATACTCTTTCACCCGGTAGACACAGGCAGTCAGCCGACTAGTGAAAAAAAAAAAATTATGCAAAAGCTGAAGAGGTGTCATTTTATAGACAAAATGTAAGATTTCCTTAGGTAAAAAGTGTAATTACAATTTCTTGAAACAATAACTCACACACACCCAAAAAACCAAAAACAGATAGGCTATATGAGAAGAGGCCAATCTACAGTTTCTGGTCATAAAAAAGTTGAAACTAAATTGCAGCAGGAGAATGAGAAAATTGAAGGGGGATAAGATAGCAGATGGAAGCCAAGAGAGAAAAAGCCAGGACAGTTTGATATCATGGTGTGGAAGAACATCCATTTTAGAAATCAACTGTATATGAGATAAAAGGATGATTACAGACGTGATTACCAGTGCCACATGGCATGAACTGCAAGAAGTTACTTGATAGTTGTGCTTTTAAATGCGTTGCAGGATGTTGTTATTACAAATCTTTCCTTCCGTATCCCTTTGCATAATTCACTACGGTTACTCGTTACACCTGAAAGGAATGATATTTTGGCCCCTACGACGTGCATGAGATAGTTTAGCATCACTAGGTGTGTCAGTATTGCACACTGTCCAAGTATTATGTCCTTGAGCACTTCAATTCTTGTCCTTGAATTCATCTGATTTTATGTTCATGATTGTTCTCGGACATTTATTGTCTAATGTATTTAACTTTCGTTCCATATCTTTGGTGTTTGTCCAGCTTTCTCGGACATATTTTAGAATTGAAATATTTCATACATAATATGCTATTGAAAGTTCCGTGTGCATAACCCAGTTGTTACAAAAATCGGATCCCCATTGGTATTGCAACTTTCTGCTCCCTGGTTGTTGATTTTTTTAAATCCATGCCGCTGCACAGTTTATTAATATAAAGTGGCAGCTGCTTCAGCAAAACAGATCAGTAGCTGTGTGGAACTGACAAATTAAATGTGAACTGTGACCTTTGCTCAGTTGACTAATATGCATGTGCTTGTCTGTGTAATATATAATGTATATTAATTAGTTAGTTAGTTCTTTCCTGTTGAGCCTAGGGCAGCACATAGGGCAGAGGTCATAGCCCTCCCTGTCTGATGGTTGGTTTCCATCTGTTTTAGGTCTGATGTCCATTAGGCCCATAGTTGAGCCTTCCCTGATGATGGTTCTATACAGGGTCTCTCATGTTCTTCCCCATGTTCTTCCCCATGTTCTTCCCCATGTTCTTCCCCATGTTCTTTTCCCTTCCGGTGTCCATGTGAAGGCTCAATGGGGGAGTCTGGTCTTTTTTTATAATGTGCGCGCATGTGTGTGTCTGTGTATATAGGTATATAAATATAATATAGAGAGAGAGATAGATAGTCAATAAGTAAAAGACCCTTTTCACTGCATTGACAAATCAGGCATATGATGTAAGACTTCTATTTTTGATAGACCAGTTGGCATTGGATGAGTGATGTGGTCAGCATCACACCAGCTGCCTTTACTCTCCAGAACTTTTCCTGATACTCTTTATAGGCAGGGTTAAAACAACCAGACTCACTGTGGATTCACACTCAAGACCTTCCAGCAGACAGGCTCTCTGGCTCTGGTTTATTGTATTTATGATATAATGATGAATAAATAATTTGAGTTCAGCATAATGGGTGTGAGCATTTCAGTCAGTCATTTTAAAATAGAGGGTATGTACTTGTAATATTTTCCGGAGAAAGTCTGTAACCAAGTAGGTTTGTGCTGAACCGGACAGTAGAGTTAACCACACATCAAAGCAGGCACATAGATATCAGCCGGCAGACTGTTACTTTATTGTAATTACAGTTTTTGATAATTGGGAGGAAACCTTTGTTTTTAGTAAGCATTTATATGTTTTGTTTTGGTTTTTGTTGTTGTTGCTGTTTGCTTTTTGCTTTCTTTTATACATATAATAATATTTACTTTTCCTGCAGTTCTGTCACTAGAAATAAGTGTATCTTGTCTTTTCAATCAGAGTCCCTGTCAAACTTGTTGTCTTTGTTTTTGTTAATGTAAATTATCTTCTTGCCTCTTGAGTAAAATAACAGTATTTGGTGGGCATCTGCATGTTTTATATATATATATATATCTGTCAACCTGCATGGTGTTGTTTCATGTCTCCCAGTCTTCTGGAACCCATTTCTCTGCTATGTTCCCTGTCTGCTTTAATTTTTTCTTCATTAACATGTGCATGAGATTGTGTAGGATACTTTAGCTTTTATGTCTTCTCTGCATTTGTGGGCACTGAAGTTACTATTGGTTTGTTGACTGTAGAAAACATATGTATGTATGCAGGCATTTGTATGTTTCTTTTTGTATCTGTGACTTTATAAGTGTGGCAGCTGAATAGCAGCAAAAAGAATTGATAAGTGATTACTTATAAAGTGCAAGTTTGTATTGTTGTCTTCAGCAAAATTCTGTCACAGTTGGTAAAACTAGACTAGTGTTGTAAAATTACATTAATTACACACTCATGCTGTTTTCATCTCAACAAATATAGGCAGCCAACCTCAGCCATCTAGACCTGAATGCTGCGCAACAGTACCAGCAACAGCAGGCATCGCAGGCCCAACAGAGCAGCACTCTAGCGGTGTCTGGCACACCCAGTCTGCAGCCTACAGCCACTCCTAGTGCCAGTGTCTCCGCAAGCTGCCTCAATGATGAGTCCTCACACTCCAACAGAGATAGGTGGGTACACTGAACATTTGACACCCGATTTGTTTGTCTCTCAGCTTTTAAATAGTTTATACATTTGTTATACATTTTCTATGTTGAGTCACTATTGAATATTGTAAAATGTTATTACGCATGACATGTTTACAATCATCTTGGTCTGTTTTGAATCGCAGCTTATAGTTAAATACTATAGGTTAGGGATATTTACAGAGATATGATGTATTAATTGTACAAACTAGATTTACATTTGTGTATAGATTGGGAGAGTCACTGGGCTTTCATCATTCATTGTTAATAAGCCTGTAAATGTTATTACATTGTTCAGTAACCATCTGTTGATGACTGCTGAATGTAAAGTTTGTGACATGCTTCTTTACAAATCAAAGTCATTTTAAATTATAATTTCTCTTTTATTCACTGTCATATTTTTTTCATTAGCATGTTTTTTCCTGTCTGCAAACGCGATTCGCAGCACCGGGGTGCCGGGTTCGATCCCAGCTGCAGACAGTTTGGCTTGCCTTGCATTAGTTTTGACAGTGGAATCGAGAGCTGACCATTCAGAAGGCAGTGACAAACTAGCGAACGTAAAATTTGCCTAGAAAAACCACAACAGTAAAAAAAAATAAGGCTAGGCTTGGTTCTGCAACGTCCTGTAAAGGATACGCAATCGAACTAACCTCTTTTTTGTGCTTGTTATGGGGCTAATTTTGGTATATGGGCTCTACAATCCTCTGTCATCTGATATTATAATGAAGTGTATACTATTTATTTGTTGATATTATTTACCCAGTTTCAGCATTCCACTTGAATCTTTCTCTGTCTAAGTTTGTTAGCATTTTCCCTTATGTGCTTGCTATCTTCTGTATTCCACCTCTGTTAGTGTCCCACAGATTTTTGTGTGTTCCTAATTGTCATCTGTGATTAGTTTATTCTCAACATTCTTGTTCAAAATATATTTCCACTCTGCCACATTTCTACATTGTTCACATACACATGAAATATCTCTTGTGTTAAACCAGACATGAAAATATAAAAATAAAGCAAAACGGCTTTGTGTTTGTTCAAGCAACACATTTCTTTCCTTTTTCACAGTGAAACAGAATTGGGCCAGGAAAAGTCCAAAAAGAAGTCCAGACGCCGTAAAAAGACTATAGACAAACAGCCTCCTAAAGTTACAATCATCTCCTATGACCAGGCTTCAGATGAAGTGGAAGTCTTACTGGAGGTGTCCAACAATAACCTCACCTGCAAGTTTCCCAGGAACTCAATTCCAAGGGCAGAGGAAGTCGAGGAGGACCTGGTATGAAAAATTATTTCACCTTTAATCCCTGTCGTGTGCTAAACTCACTTTACTATTCAATTGTACTATGGGGGCAGAGGCGTTATCGACTGCGCCACTGGAAAAGGTGCTAGATGATGGTAGAGGTTAGTGCAAAAAGTCCATGCAGCTGGACGCGTGAGGCAGAGGTTTCTTGAGATTAACGGCTAACATCGGTCTCCACGAGGATTGTGAGACACAGGTGTGACTGGCCGGAGAACGTGAACCCCGAGGGTTGTCGAGAATACAGCCACGGGTGGGAAGAGTCCCTGAGTAGTTTCAAACAGGCAGAAGCTTCTTGGCCAGTCTTAGTGTCTGGATGCGTTGAGCATGTTTTGTTCCTGTCGGTGTATTTGAACAAGTGGTTTCATTCTGTTGGAGCTTATGTGAATTGTTTAATGGGTTTGGTGGATCATGAGATAGACTTGGGAATTATGTCTGTAATTTCAAGAATGGATGGTGGTGCAGCCCATTTGTTGGTGGGGTCGAGACTGGCTATGGAACACGTAGTTGACAAAGGGGATCTGTATAGGCACAGGCAGTGCCAGGAACCTTGTGTGTGTGTTAATTAATGTGACGTGTGATGTGGGAAAAGTATGGGTCGCTGACTGACATAATCGTAGTCAGTGATGCTTCAGTGACTAGACATAGGTTCGCTGGGGTGTTTGTCCACGTCTAGAAAGACTGTCAGGGTGAATAGTTGGAAAGGTAGTAGAAGACTTGACAGTGTGTCATTGATTACCCCTCATTTTCATCGGAATGTGTTTCGTTCATAATAAAAAGACCAGAGCACTATTACAGAGATGACTTCTAATGTATAGGTGTTTGTAGTACGATTAGAGAACTTTAAGCATAAACAAATCCTCCAGACACTTGGCGAGCGTGCGATGCCCTTGGACAGATCGCATATAACAATCTCAACGCCACTTTGACCATAAAACATGCCCCTGAGGCTAGCCAGCTTCTGTATCCAGGTCTTTCTTGGGCTGTGTCTTCCTCTTCCGCTGCCTTCAGTAGATCCCTGCAGTAAGTTTTTGGAGAGGCTAATAGATCTTATTACATCTGAACCATTGCTTCTTCCAGTTTTTAAGTGTCTTACATAGGGATAGAAAGTAGTATGACCGGTGTATACTTTGTACATCACTAACAAAAGTTGGGAATTTTTTTTATGCTGAATCATGCAGGTTCTGCTTTAGCAGCATTTGCAAACGAGGAAACTCCCAATGAACAAATATACTTGTGTAAAATACATTATTCGTGCACAGGGTCTACTCTGTTTATGACCGAGTTCTGCTCTTACTGAAATGTTGTAGGTCAAATTAATAAACTTTAATACTATTTTCATTCCAATGGGTTATAAAAATTGTTCATAAAACACAAATTCAATTTGTGTACATGTAATTTTTGTACATTATTTGAAACATATAATTTATTCTTTGTTATATCAATTCCAGGAATGTTTTGGCCCTAGAAATCCTTCTTTCTTTTTACTATTATTTTACCTTGGGGCGGGGGGGGGGGGGTCCTAAGTACAGATGGTCAATAAGTCATAAATCGTTAAGAAGATGTACTTCCAGATCAAATAAATCATTTTGTTTACTTGAGTGTAGAAAGAGACTGTACATTATTTGTTCTTTTTTTTTGAGATAGCATTGTATTGATCTGATCTTGCAGCTTCCAGATGTCAGTAGGGTACAGATAGAGGGTGTCACTGGACTCCTGCACCAGGTGATTCAGATTGTGACTAAAGAAGGCAAGAATGCTGTGGGGCAAGTGCTGACCTTGTCACCCTCCTCTAGCCCAACAGCTGTCAGAAAATTTAAGATCAACATTGATCCCAATAAGGTTAGTGAGGGCAGCTGTGGATTTACTGATCATTTTCTGGTAGATGTAATGTCTGTATGCTTCTTTTGTGTGTCTTTTGTGATTCTTCTTCTTTTTATTCTTCGTCTTCACGGTTGTTCATTCATTTCTGGGCTTTTGGTCTTGTCTCAGAAATATTTTTCTTGCACATTCATTTTACAGGCTTGGCTTATTTGAATGCAGATTGTTGGTTCCTCACCTCTAAGACAAGAGATGAACAAACAGCATGCTGAGAGAGTGTACATCCACGGTAGTGACATATATAAAGTAGGTAATAATTGAGAACTAGTGCCACCGTAGAAACTGCCCTGGTACTCAGCTGTTTCAGATTTTGTGTCAGTTTTACCTATTCTAATAGAAGAATTATGATGCAGTGTGGAGAACACCTGAAGAGGTCTGGATCTCTGTTGAATCTCCTTTCACTCAGGAAAATCTCCAGAATTGGCACTTGGAAGGCTAACAAAGTATAGGTTGATTTGGCGTGAGTTGATTGAGTGCCTTTGCTTCATTGGGGGTTAAAGGGCAGAACAAGAAGGAAGAAAGTTCAGTGTTGAAGCACAAAAATTGTATATTAAGCAAATTTAAGGTCTTTAAATGGGTTCAGGGAATTGGATTGTTTAAGAAGATGATGCAAAAAAGGTGGGTACAGGATCATATGGGATTTAGAGAGATTACGGCAGGACAGCAGACGAGAGAGAGCCTGACAGTTCATTGTCTGTGTTTGCATGTACAGACTATTGAAACATAAATGAGTCTGTGTATGCATGTACAGTACATAGTTTATGTAAAACAAACGTTTGAAACATGTCAATAAGGAGGATAATTTCCCATATAAGAAGTTTTTGTCGGCCTAGTGGCTAGAACCACTGGCCTCCCATTTGGGATACCCACGTTGGAATGCTCAGTAAGGCAAGGAAGTTTGTGTTTTCATAGGGGAAGTATCCTAACCTGTACAGTTCATGGCTACTGCACTATCTATGTAGCTCTCTGTCCTCAGGCTTTAGACTCCCTCCCCCTTTTTTCTTCTGCTCTACACCACACAAAAAAGTGATGAATACAGGCTAATAATTTGTATTTGTGTTACAGCCAATAACAGAGGGGGCCCAAGAGCTGAAGAGCCAGACCCACAAGAGTGGGTTAGTTGTCACACACCAGTCTAGCTGTGAGAACAAAATCAACGAAGATGATCTTGAGGAGACCACCACATCACCTGAAAACAACCCAGAAGGTTCCCTGACTCATGCCCAGGGTATGCTTGACATGGAACAGAAGTCTTGGAAGTCTACAACTACTAAAGAAAGTGTTCCAATCAACATTGATGAGCTGTCAGAGAAATTGAAGTCTATCTACCCCCAGAAAACTGGGGGACATGAGTCCCAGACTCCCATTGTAAAACCAGCAGATGCTGGTCTCCAAGGCCAGCCATCTAATGTTTCCCAACCACCTCAAGTCCAGACTTCTCAAGGGTTGGCTTATCCTCATTTTCAGGGCCAGGCTCAGGCCACTGGTCAAGCAGTACCTCATTTAGCACAGGCAGGCATACCAAACCAGCTGCCCACTGGTCAGTCAGCAAGCTATTCCCAAGGTGTGCCAGCTGGAGGCACTGTACAGATGCAGCAGCCCTTGCATGATCATTCACTGCCTGCAGTTCCAGTGGATACCCAAGTTTCACCAAAAAGTGCAGCTCAGATGCAGGCAGGCCATTCTGGAGTCGGTCAGCATATCCCAGGACACCAGACACAATATCAGCAAGAGAGTTCCACCGGGGAAGTGCCAGGTCCGACTGCTACAGCTTCTGTTCAAAATATTCCCCAGGACCCTGCTGCAAAAGCAGGAGGTCTGCCTACAGGATACAGCTCTCTTGGTCACATGGCTTATGGTATGCATCCTCAGGTTTCCCACCTGTCCCAGATGCAGCAAATGCAGCAGATGTATGCCCTGATGCACATGGCACCATACACCTTTCACCAGCCCAGCTACTATGCTCACATGACCCCATACATGCAGACCATGATGCAGATGTCCCATTTTATGCATCAGATGCAGCAACATCAACAGCAGCATGGACAGCACCCTCTGCCAATGCACCTGCCTTTCCCTTATTCCCAATACTCAGGCTGGGGATATCCCTCCACAGTCGGTCTTCCACCCCAGTCTTCCCATCCTCCTGAAAGTAGTTCTGTGTCCACTGGTGCATCTCCTCCCAGATCTCCCACATCATCTAGAAGAAATGTTTTACAAGATATCTCCGTCCAGTCTCCGTATGCCTCCATAGAAAATCTGAGCAACATCGGCAGGTCAATGCCCAGGTCAGATATAAACACACTGGAGCAGGCATTGGCTAAAACGATGAGCAGACAGAACCACCCTCATCAGCACAATCCTTCTCCCATCAGCAGTGGTACCAGCTTACAGGATGTGCCTGCTGATACAAAACTCACTGATCATCCACCTGATGTAACTGAGAAGTTGAAACCTGAAGATGACAAAATACTGATTGACAAAGGGACACTGCCAGATGGCTCTCCACCACGCCCCGCTGAGACAAAGTCTGAACCAGAGCTGTCTGTTCCCAAAGTCAAGGCAATCTCACGCTTCAAGGTGGAGACTGTTAAGGAGGATCCCCTCCTTGTACCAAATGATGCAGAGAACAAAGCAACATCACCCGAAGGTGACAGTTCAAAGACAGATGTCACAGAAGAGAAGACAGTCGACAAAAGGGGAAGGTTCCAGGTCACAAAGATAACTGTGAAACCACCAGCAGATTCGGCATCATCCGAGGGCACTTCTGCAGATGCCACCTCTTCGGCTTCTAGCAATACTAAACCAAATGTCTCAGATGTATCTAGCGCTAAACAAGAGGCAGTGGATGCCACTACTAATTTCCAACTCCGCGGTGAAGGTGCATCTGATAACACTAAACCTGTTGGTGTAAGTAATTGTATACTCAAGATTAATGGCAACACAGTTGCTTTAAATTCCATCCATCCTAACCAATCACATTATTATACTTACAATTCCTTTCAACCTTTCTGTAGAAGTAATCTTGCTAAACGAGGCAGGTCTGTGTCTGTTGATCACTTGTATGTGGCTGATAAACCGGGGCCATTGGAATCCAGTCAGTCTCTAAATAGGCTAACACATGTTGGTGATAGGTTTGCTAAGATATATGCCCCAAATTGCTATTTGCATGTTCCTGCTTCGTATACTAATGGTAAGAGCTTGTTGAGTGAGTGCTGCACCGGAGATGAGTTATTGAAAACCAAACCTCAAGTGTGGAAGAGACAGGCACCTGTGTTGCTCGACCACAAGAGAGGCAGTCAGGTGAGATCTTTGGCAGAGGATATACAGCCCCCCAACCCCCACCATTGTACTAAATTCATGATTTATATATATAAAGATGCCAGTGTAAACAAGCATGCTTCTTAAACAGTCAACATTTTTAAGGTTGAAGAAAACTTTTTTTTTCTATGGCAGATACTCTTTGCACTGCATTGGTAACCAATGAATCAAAACCCTTTATATGTACACACAACTTATTTGTGATATTCGATCAACACATCATTTCAAGCATTTTAACATCCTCGCTGAAGACTCAGATTCCAGTTACTGGTCTCTGAGATCTGGACACATCAGTTCACAGCTCCTATACTACAGAGATTTAAAATAATCATAAAGTGCCTTGCTGACTGACTTGGGTGATCCTACTTTTCTACACATTGTGCTGTGACAGTATGTATCAATTCTGGTGCTGAAACTTCTTCCTCACTATCTCTCGGTCCATAAATCTTTTTAGTTTTGTTGGGACATGTTCCAGTTTCATATGATGTATCAAAAAAATATTGCCTGCCTGTTTCTTATATTTATGAAAATGAAAGCTTCATTCGACAGTGAGAGGATTTGAAGCTATCTTTTGTAAAATCATCTTCTAGATTTCATGTCATTTTTCGCTTGTTTACTAATTGTCCAAGGTTTACAGACATGTTGAACGTGATTCTGCATAATATGCACAGATTCTTTTTCTAACCACCACGACAGGGATTTATATCATGAGATAATTTTCTGACTACAAAGGTTAGATAATTGAGATCTTCATCTTGGCACTGCAGTCATTGCACCATTCAGTTCACATATACTTGGAACCAGTGCTCAGTCAATCCTGATAACACACACCAGTTCTGTTGTTTTCTTTTCTTCTTTGGCTCTATACATAATCTGGTGCCACCCCTTTTCTCTTGCAGTCTGATCATAGTTGCATATTCACAGTCGTCACTTGTTTCACACAAATCTCTTACTTCTTTTAAAGCATTCAGTATATCAGTCTAGTCTCTGGATCACTCACCCTGAACATTATCCCTGCCTGACATCCTATCAGCACTTTTGGTTCCTCTTACACATGCATACCCTGGCATAACAGTGAAAACTAATCTTTGCCTAGTCCTGGTAGTCTCAAGGACCCCAACTGCTGTCTTTGAGTTCAGCCTGTGTAGATCTTCTTCAGCATACTCCAAAGGCTATGTAACATAAAGGTTACTATCTTTTGAAAGTCAAATGACAAATTAGTTAACACATCAGCACTAGACAGTAACCCACCTTAAGATGTTCCTCCAGCTAGCAGAACTAGAGGTCATACCATTCTTTCTCAAAATAATGCCATCATAGTGCTTCTGTTTGGTTTGTCAGATATCACTTTCATTGCACACTAGTATCAGTGCCACACCTATCACTTTATGCCACACTTGTCAACTTATACCCCACCTGCCAGCATTTCCTGCCACATGTCACCGTATCCCAGACATACTAGCCTTTTATGTCACATGTAGCACCTTATACCACTCATGTCAGCCTTTCTTGCCACATAAATCACCTTATACCACACCTACCAGCCTTTCAAGCAACACCTTATACCACACCCACCAGCCTTTCAAGCCACACCTTATACCACACCTTTCAGCCTTTTACACCACACCTGTGACCTTACACCTCACCAACCAGCCTTTCGTGTCACACCAATCACCTTATACCACAGCTGTCACCTTATACCACACCTACCAACCTATCGTGCCACACCTATCGCCTTACACCACATCTACCAGCCTTTCATTCCATACCTTTCACCTTACACCATAACTTTTAGCTGTTGATGCACACCTATCGCCTTACACAACACCTACCAACCTTTCACGCTACACTTTACACCACAAAATCACACCTTCCAGTCTGTCATGCCACACCTGTCGCCTTACACCACAAATACCAGTATTTTATGCCAGACCTATCACTTTACACATCTATAAGCCATTCATGCCAGACCTATCACCTTACACCACACCTCCCACCTTTTTATGCCATACATATGTTACACCACACCTCCTACCCTTTCATGCCACACCTATAACCTTACACCACACCTACTACAGTTTTGTGCCACACCCATCACCTTACACCACACCTACCAGCCTTTCAAGTCACACCTTACAAACCTTACAACACATCTACCGGCCTTTCCTGCCATGCTTATCACCTTACACCACACCTCCTAGCCTTTGATGCCACACATACCATTTTACACCACACCTACCGGCCTTTCATGCCACACACGTTACCTTATGCTATAGCGTATTCCACACCTTTAACTTTCTTACATCTTTGTTTATGGACCAGTCCACTTCTGATGTTGCACCTGTCATATCAGACTTTTTTCTGACCTATATTTGAAAATTATTTGGAACCATCATTGTCATTGAATTGGTTACTGTGATATGTGGGTACAAGTTATAAGACAAAGCAGATGGCGATATATTGGACCAGAGATTCACAGGCACTGAAATGGAAAACAAATGGACTCATGATGCAAGAGCATCCAAGAGGAATCCTGTTACAAATATTGATGAAAGGGACCAAGGATATTGTTAGATTCCACATAATAGAAAAGAATAGAGGAATGACAGATATTGTTAGATTACACATAATAAAAAAAAGAATGGAGGAATCACATATATTGATAGATTCCACATAATAGAAAAGAATGGAGGAATCACAGATATTGTTAGATTCCACATAATAGAAAAGAATGGAGGAATCACAGATATTGTTAGATTCCACATAATAGAAAAGAATGGAGGAATCACAGATATTGTTAGATTCCACATAATAGAAAAGAATGGAGGAATCACAGATATTGTTAGATTCCACATAATAGAAAAGAATGGAGGAATCACAGGTATTGTTGGATTACACATAATAAAAACGAATGGAGGTATCACAGATATTGTTAGATTACACATAATGTAAAAGAATGGAGGAATAATACATAATAGAAAAAAAATAGTACAGCTGAAAAACTATGGTTATATGAGGTTAAAGTAACAATTTCAGTATAGCCGAGGGACTGGTTTATGGTAATAATTTTTAGTCTGAAGAAAGTAATCAGGTTCCGTTTGTATCGCATTTCATTGCATTGACTATTTAACATTGCGTTTTGCTTTTTGTGAAATAGACTGTTGAAGATGAAAACAGGCCTGTTACCCCCGGCCAAAAGACTAATCCAGAGAAAATTAAAAATGACCTGGCTGCTCTGGAATTTGATGCAGAATATCAAGCATTGATTGATAGGTAAGTACGGCTATAATGGCTTCTTTATTTCATCATGGGAGTTGAGAAAATTTTTATTGTTTATTTTGAGTTTAGAGCTAATAACTTGTAACCTCGACTGGATATTCAAAAGCACACGGTGAGTATTTGATTTCCTGAAAGATGGAGCAAGTCGCAGTGGTGGTCCTTCTCTTCTCATGGGAAATTGTTTTGTTGGTTGTTGTTTCCTTTTTTGTGTGTGTGTGTGTGTGTGTGTGTGTGCAGTAACTGTCCGTAGGTTTTACTGCAGATCCTCAATACATTTTCACATGGCTGGTATGAAACCAGATCCATCCAGATGATTTCTGATTAAGAAACAGCTGTACCCTTACATTGGAAGGGTGTCAGCCGGTCAGCATCCATTGCAGAATACAGGCAGTGTATGGTGACAAATGTGTGTTGAAAGAAGCAGTAGACTAGGCTCAGATGTTTTCTTTCTCCTGTGGGTTCCAGGACCCCATTGTGGGGTTAAACAAAAATAATAGACCCATTGCCCTACAAGCATGCCATAAGAGCCTACCAATTAGGGATGATTCCGTCAAAGTTGGATTGCATCTGCCTGAGTGACGAGGAACAACATCTGCATACAAATTAGCCAGATCTGTAAAACATGTGCCCGCAAAGATTCCGGATCACCATAAAGTCCAGAAGTCGATGAACAACAAGAGCTTCCTTCCAGATTTTATTGCCTGTGAACGGAAAGAAGATATTTTTGAAAGATGCAAGGAAATAAAATTATAAATGATCGTCCACATTGTTGCCACAGATAAAACAATCAAGATTGATACAGCAATACAGATAGATATCATCAGAGACAGTATACAGGTGGATGTCATTAAAGTGTGTGTTTGTTAACATAGGAATTTCATTTAACCACACCTGGTGTGTTTATCTCTTGATTTTTCTTTCACGTTGTTGAAACTATTTTTTAGAGGCCAATTCTTATACTTTGTTTGATGTTTTAATCTGCCATCCCCTGTTTTACATGTCCATGGTAGGAAAAACTATTAACTATTCAGCAGCGCAATCTCAGTAAGTAATTCAGTAGTGTAATCTCAGTAATTCAGCAGTGTAAATATCTTGACTGATGGTTGATATTCTATTTGATTGCAGGCAGATTGAGGAGAAAAGAGTCTACCTGACTAACAAAGGCTATGACCAAGAAGTAATTGATTTTGAAGTTCTGAAAGTCCGCCAGCCACACCCATTGCTCGCCAGTACTGTTGGTTCTCCTGCATTTTTAAATGTCTCTCCCCCTTTTGCCGGACAGCCATCACCACCAGTTCCACTGTTTCACTTAGGAGGAGATCAGAACTTTGCAGCTGTAGCAGAAGCTGCACTGGCCAAGTCACCACTTCGTGTTGACATTTTAAGAGCTGGCAAAACCAACCGCCTGGAAGACCTGAAGGACCTTCTGAAGTATGTTGACTTTACAGCACAGACAAGTGTGACCCTCCCTAAAGGAGATGTGAAGAAGTCTATGAATGAAATGCGGCAAGAACAGGAACCACGATGGGAAAACAATTTTGACAGTGTGGGTTCTAGTGGGGTTGGCAGCAGCATGGGTACCGAGTATCTGGACTTGACCAGGGACACATCTGCTAGCAACAGCCGCAAGTCTAGCATTGACCTGTCTGGCTCTCAGAACTCAATCTCTGATCTCTTGCACAGCTATCAGCAACAGCAGCAGTTCCAAGCCTCAGCCGTGGGGCAGACTCATATTCCAAGTGCACCTTTGCCGCCAGTCCAGCAGAACACATTTGAGCAGTCCCAGGTGACAAGCACCCAGCAGCAGATACCTCACCAGGCGTACAGCACATATTACACAGGGCAGTACCCGTTTAGTATACACCCTTTTCCTGGTTTCCAATTTCCAGTGGCTAGTCAGCAGGGAGGGTATCATCCCGCTGCTTTGGCTCCAGCCTACAGCCAGTTCTTGGGCAACACAGGTGCTTTCACAGTGCAGCCAGGATTCCAGCCTCAACAAGGCACACAAGACTCGGCCCACGCTGCTATTTCCAAATCAGCAACAACTGCTGTTTCTGGCATTCCAAATGCTGTTGCCGCCAGCACAGTCAACCAACATGCTGTTGCAGGTGTTGGGCAGTCAGGCACCACCTCGCCAAATATTCAGCCTGTGGTCACTTCGGCTGCTAGTGCAGCTTCATCCACCCCAGCACCAAGCGGTCCCGGAAGCAGCCTCCCTACAGGTCGCACGGATCTGACCCCGACACAACAGATCCAGTCTGGCCAGCCCAGCTCTGGTTGACAGTAGTGAACTTTACTGCAAGTCTTTCATTCAGTGAACATTCGTCTTGCCTTTGGCTTTGCCCTTTGTGTTGTATTTATTTTCACCTGAGATCTTCTCGCTTTGGCATAGGTAGGGTCAATGTGCTTTGACATTAGATATCTGTGCTGTCATTCGGCTTTACACATGACATTACATGCATACTTCATTTGTGAAGTGCATCGAAATTAAAGTTTGAACGTTGATATTGGCTGTGAGTAGATTGTTGTGGTTCGGCCATTTTCATTTACTTACTGCATGTTTTAACAGTATTAGGATTTTTGTACTGAGAGAGACGCTCCCAAACATGATTTCAGTTAATTTTAATCAGCTTATTTTTGAATGTTAGATGTACTTAACATCTTTGATTGTTTATCTGCCTTAGTCCAGTAAGTCTGCAGGTTAAACACCAGCTGTATTTGTTATTTATTTGGGGGATATTTCAAGACATTATCCATGAGCCGTCTTCTTTTGTCCATGCTTTCCCAATTATGGTGTCTGTCATTTTTTGTTGTTCCCACTGTGTTGGAATTAACCTTCACATACACACATATATGTAGATTAAATCATTCTTGTCGTTATATTGTATTAACCCTATTTACACATAGAAAAAGGCATTCTTTTCATGTTGTGTGTGTGTGTGCATGCGCGAGCGCACACCTATCGTATTTCCTAGGGGATAAGTATTCTGTTGCGCTGGTGGGGTGCGTGGCAGTCACAGCCTAGCAAGACTAATTCATGTTCAGAAAAGTTTACAATTACAGCAATGAATTTCAGAAGCAGAGTTCCTCCTCTCCAAAGCATAGTGATTGGACAGTATAGTATTGTAGAGACCATATGTTGCTAATGTAGCCTGATCCCTCTTTCTGCCTACCTTGTTTACTTCATAGGAAAGGTAACGCCAATATGTTTGGAACAAAGCATGGTGCAGAAGCATCCAGATCTGAAGAGCAGTATTATTTCTGCCTGTCGGAGCTTCCCTCCTAAACCAGCTGCCAACCAAGAGCCTGGTCTGCTATTTCTGTCATCACATGAAGTTTTCACCTTGTATATCCTCTTCCAAGGATACTGTTGTTTTCTTTCTCAGGGTGCTTCTCCACTTGAAACCATTTGCAGTGTAGAATGTCTGGTTTGGCATACACCGCCCAGCATTTGTCATTTACAGAAAAGTGGTAATACCAACTGCTTGTTGTGGATTGAACCTGCACGTGCGTGCACATACATACAAATAAAATAATGGTTTTTGTTTGTTCCTTGCGTGCCTGATATGACTGAGACCTGCATTCAGGAGCTTGCCAGGTTTTTTTTTTTTAAAACATTTTTTTAAATGTTGTTTTTAAAACAACAACAAATGGCACCAGCACACTGCTGGGGTTGGTCCAGGATGTCCTGTCAATGATATATGACTAACTTGTTTACCCACATAATTTGGCTTGCATGTTATCTGGCAGGATGTGTAGAGTACAGGACACTCCTAGCAAGATATTCTCTTGTAGCATATGAAGCTATATATTTTTTTGCATGTCATTTCCCTAATTTGTCACAGATCAGCTTTCACTTTCTCTGTGCTATCTCTTTTGCTTCCCCTGCGACTTTTCCCTCACCCTTGTTTTCAAACAGCGGTACTTATAATTTGCGACAATCATCACATGTGCTCTATGGTAATTTTAAGCGTGTAAATTTGAACCGATGAACATAGCCTGAAATGATAATCATAACCTGCACTGATATCATAAACAAGTAGGCTAGATGATGTAAAGCCACTGCAGCCTTGTATGTTTGTGCCTGTTCTTGTTGATCAAAATTCCAGTGACTATTTGTCATCATTGAGAGCCATCTTGACAGAATTCAGGTTTTTTTTTAAAAAGTCATGCTGATGACAAGGAGATATTTTGTTGAAAAATCACATTATTAATTCTATTATTATGATGAAGATTTGACAGTTGTTTTTGTATTATGTTTGATTCCCCGTGGCATAGCGGCTAGATGGATTCCCCGTGGCATAGCGGCTAGATGGATTCCCCGTGGCATAGCGGCTAGATGGATTCCCCGTGGCATAGCGGCTAGATGCTCCCGTGCAGATTGGGAGGTCGTGGGTTCTCTCCCTAGCAGAGCTGGACTTTTTTTTTTTCAAAAATGACCTCGACTCCCAGGTTGACCCAGCCTTGAGTGGGTACCGGGTGCAGGTCCGGGAAGTAGAGGCAGCCAGCATGATGCTGACCACATCACCCATTTTCTGCCGATTGGTCTATAAAAAATATAGGTCTAGCCATGTATGCCCTATATGCCTAAAGGCGTGGAAAAGGGTCCTTAACTTTAACTTTGTCGTAAATAATTGAAAATTTTAAAAATATTTTTAAAAAAAAACCTTTTTTGCCCTTGGTATTAAAGAGACGGAGCTAGCCGTGTGTTGCTATACACCAGTTGACACTCAGTGGTGGATGTGGGCAGCATCATGCTGACCGCCTTTACTTTCCAAGACAGTTCCAGCTACCCTTAGTGGTTGCATTGATTTAGTGGTTTAGTTCTGTGCTACTGCCTTTGTGGAGTTTTATTATTTCTATGCATTGCAACCTAACATTCATAACATAAGATGGACGATGTGCGACAGAAATTAAGAACAGAATTTGCCAGACAAAGGCCGCATTTCAGAAGAGGAGTATCTTATGTAATAAATATCTCTCATTAAACATAAGAAAATGAGCACAGAAATGTTACATCGAGCCTGTTCTGTTGTATGACAGTGAATCTTGGCATGTGAGCAAACAAATTAACAAGAGTTTGGTGGCAGCTGAGATGTGGTTCTTGAGAAGAATGTTGTGAATACCTTGGACTGCCAGAATAACTAACAATGATTGCCTGGAAATGGCTAATGACAGTAGAACATTATAAACAACAAAGAGAAGGAGACAAAGTTTATTGGTCACGTGATGAGAAACGGAGCACTGGAAAATATCATGACGACGAAAGATCACTGATAGCAGAAGCAGACCAAGATAAATGATGGTGGATGGCCTAAGACAGCGGCATGGAGGAATATCATCAGTGGAATTGATCCAGAACACCTAAGACCTTGAACGCTTACGTACGCCAGCTGGCAAGGCACTTGATGGATGATGATAATAACAACTTACCATGTATGGTCAGTTGTTGTGTACACGTGGCTTGTTATTATATTATTTACATTTGGTCTGAGCATATTGACAAAATCTGGGCAGATATTTTAGCATGCAGCACAACATATGTTGTATCTTTGAAAGTAATACACTCATAAATGTTCATTATGTGCCTAACCTCTCTGAGACATGGCTTCTCTGAGACATATGGCCTCTCTGAGACACATGACACTTCTGAGACAGATAACCTATAAGAGACACATGGCCCTTCTGAGACATATCGCCCTCTGAGACATATAGCCTCTCTGAGACATATAGCCTCTCTGAGACATATGGCTTCTCTGAGACACATGGCCATTCTGAGACAGATAACCTATAAGAGACACATGGCCCTTCTGAGACATATCGCCCTCTGAGAGTCTTATGTCATTTGCGAGGAGGAAAAGCAAACTAGTAACCTGTGACAGGTAACAACTGGCAGGTTTAATGGAAGAAGAGTAACTGGAAGACAGTGATAAATACATGGTTGAATGGGGTAAGAAAGGCACGTGAGCACTAACCTGACCCATAATTCTGGGATAATGGCACCTAGTCACCATCAGCACTTATTAGTGTAAATACGCTCTGGCCATCCTCACTGTCAGTGCTACCCAGATTGAACGACTCGAGAAGGTGCAAAATGAAGCCATGCGTATTATTTTGGGATGTACAAGAGACACATCCTGTGGAGCAATGAGGTATCTACTTGACTTTCCAACAATGAACCAAAGGATCAGGATGTGGAGGGCTCGGGCATACCTCAAAATATGTGCTGATAAGAAACACCCACTGCATCAAGCGCTTTTTAGTGAAAAGGGCGACAGACTGAAGAGGGGAAAATCGTGGCTAGGTCGGGCAGAAGATGTTATTAGGCAAATATGCAGCCTAACCGACATCATACCTGGTGCAGAATGGATACCTGTGCCTCAGGCGTTTATTTGTACATTTTCCTGTATTGTCACACTCAACAGGCGATGTAGAGAAGATAATCCTGTTGCTGTTAATGCAGAGGTCAACGCTCTCATCGGTGAAAATTCAGACGAAGCAGATGCACTAATCTATACAGACGGATCAGTTATACGCCAAAGAAGAAGCACATGGGCATTTACAGCACGCTCAGCGGGCAGAACAGTCAAAGAAGCCAACGGCGCCTTCTCCATGACAACCAGCAGCATGACGATGGAGGTGATGGCAGTGACGCAAGCGTTTGCCTGGCTTGAAACACAAAAATACACCCGCATATGTATACTCAGTGATTCAATGAGTATGATCCGGAGGGTTCAGGCAGGTTCAGTGCGAAGACAATGGCTTGAATCAATTCAGAAGTCCACTGTGCGAGGAGTCACCTTTATTTTTGTTCCGGGACACGCAGGCGTCGATGGAAATGAAAGAGCTGACAGGTTGGCTGGATCCGCTATCACTACCGACGGTCGGCCTATGGATCATGCTGATATTATCAATGCCCTCAGAGAAATGGGAAGGATAGAGGACTTTGGTGGCAGTGAATCCACATCACTCGCCAGAATGGCAGACTTGGGAATTAAGATCGGCACAGCAAAAAACGAGACGCACACCGGACACGTCAGAAGACTTGTTAATCAACATAGAACTGGTACTATTAGCCATCGGACGTTGGGATTCATACTGAGGGGAGGATCTGAGCACCTATGGACATGTCCGGAGTGCAATGATGATAACCCAACTAACTAACTAACTAACTTATTAGTGTAGCACTTGATGATGATGTTGATACCAGGGACAGCCAGATTGAGAAATAACAATCTAAGGAAAGGACAGTGCACAGAGAAAACCTATCTTACCTATCGG